TCTTTCCCTGCTCTACAATGACAGAGCACAGTTTCTGGCCCCATGGGCAGGGAGATGCGGCTATTGTTCTTTTAAGTGTGCAAACAAGGATAGATGCTCTACCATGTCCAGTTGCTTGTGGGTGTCCTCGACTGGCACGCTCAATGTCTCCTTCAGCTGCTTGCTCACACTTTGGAAAAGGTTCAGGGTAGCCATTTTGATGGTGCCCAGCTTAAGGGTTTTCTTAGCTGCAGTGTTCTGAATATGGGCCCAGCGAGATTCCTGAAGAGAGAGGGGAGACCAGTAGACACAAGACTCAGCAAAGAAGTTGGCATACTGCTGAAGACGGCATCCCCAGGAGCCCATGATTTGCATGCCTCTTCTTATGTTACCCTGGATGCTGTAAAGCCTAGAACCTGCTCTTCTATTTGCATTCAAATTTAGAAGCTTGGGATTGTGTAAGTAAGTATAAACTTGGGATTGCATAAGTAGTTGGATTGTGTAAGTACCCATGAGAATTAACTTTATCAGGGTACCAGTAAACTTCCAGAATAATGTGCTTGCACCAGGGTGTCAGAATTCAGAAAAGCAGTTTGGGGCATCAAAAAAACCTAGCAAGCATGATGCAGGATGTGGGAACAGAAGCATCTGTAGAGGCTGGGGAAATGCTAAAGAGCACCATAGCGAAAGAAGCAGTAGATTGATATGCCTTTGGGGGAAAAAAGAATCCAAAGCAGCATCAGTGGCTGTTGTATGTTCACCAGGCACTGGGAAACTACACAAGGACATTATACCCACAGCCTTGGCAACCAAACATGAAATATGAGAGCCTTGACAACTGTCTGCAAGTTTCCTGACAACACCAAGGAGGGAGCAAAAGAAGGGATGAATTAAGGGGTTATAACTTGGTGTAATAAATTTAAATTAATTCAAGAAAACTGCATGCTGAACATCAGCAAAAATACATTCACTCTGAGGTCTACGAGACCATGGGAACATCTCCCTGGGAGATGGTGGAAGCCCCAGAACTTAGGACAGTTTCAACTCTTCTAGACAACGTTATGGAAGAACATGACTGCCCCGTCCAGTGTTGGAGATGTTCTGGATCTGACCAAAGATTAAGTGTTCCTTTGGCTTATTGTTAAATACTTCCATGCCTCCCATTTGTTTAAGCCACACTTAACTCAGGTCTCCTTATTTCAGAGACCATAACCAATACATAAAGACTTCAAGAAGCTCATGATAGTTGCTTTATTAACCTGCCCTAGTGTAGACAGACTGATTTTACATCAGTGCAGTAGGATTCTTTTACTCTGGACAAAACCTAATGTCTGTGATTTTGTAACCTCCTAACAACCTGGAGAATATATCAGCCTGCTCTTGTCTAGTTAGGTAGAGAAATGAAGGCTGTAACTGGGGCTTGCAATGACCCATTACTCCAAGAATGAGGCATCACTCAGCAAAGTGGGCAACAGTGTTACACTATTGTGCTGGTCTCCCATCCCACCACTATACAGCAAATCAAAGGGTACCTCCTTCCCTTGTTCAGGGGCAGGAAAAGAGCATATGTATGGTGAAGATCTCCTTACCCTCCTAATGACATCACTGCGGGCACGATCAAAGCGCATCTGCAGGTTTGCTAGCTCGTTGTTGTGTTTTAGGATCTCATCATCCTTCTTCTCAGTGTATTCTGCCAGATGGGTTTTAGCTTGCTCAATCTGCTCCTGGTCTTCTAGTGCTGACACCATGAGATCCTGCTGCATTCCCACCAGTGTCTTGTACCGGCCAATAACTTCTCGTATTTCCTCAAACTGCATCATATTGTACCCAGCATTACTGCCCTCTGTTCCAACTCAGCATGCTGGAGAATATCAACTCCCAGCCCAAGCAAAGAATATGTTACCTCCTTAACTTGGGAGAATATCAGTGTTGTACCAAATATTGCATCCAACCTACATTGAGTATCACCATCCTAAATGGGGAGAAGGTTAACTTGGCATGGCCAGAGAATTTCATTCCCATTTTCTTGTCATCATATCAACATGACAGTAAATATCATCTGTCTCAGCACTGACATCACCCCAACCATAGGAAGGTATCATGACGATATCACTTGCATACAAGAGAGTAACACATCTGTCCCACCATCATTATCAGCATGACATGAGAGAGTATTCTGCATCACACAGGGGAATTGCTATCACTCGGACCAAAAAAATAGCAAACAGACTCCTGAGAACATTATAAGCCAGACCCAGCGGCTGGTGGTGCTTCTATTTCACAGGCATGTTTTTTTCCAACCAAAATGTAATATTAAATACACAGGCACAAAGGAGGCTTTTCTCAAGCTCTGTGTCCTTGGCTGAGTTACTCACAGTACATTAATGTCCCACTTTTACTTTTCTACACCTTTCAAGGTCCTGCTCCCTTCAAGCATAAAAAAAATACCTCTCTCATTCCTGATGATCTCTCTTAATGGATCCAGCTCTGGGTCCTGCCTTTCCTTTGGGGACACTGATCAGGCAGACCAGCCTGGGCCCAGTGATGTCAGGGACTCTGAGCAGGCAGGCTAGCATGAACCAAGTACCCAAGTACCTGTAGCAAGGCCCAGCTAATTAACTGTGCCCCAGTTTAGGAGCAGCAAGCATCCTAATTGGCTGCTGGGATCACCACGTACCCATTTAGCTGTGGGGATCCACAGCTGGGCCCCTGGGTCTGCAGGCCAGTCAACAGTTCTGCTGTGGCAAACCTTCTGGTTCCTGATGCAGTTTTCTGGCTTATTTCTGGACTTGGGCTTTGAATTTCCTCACAGTTCTGTTTCCTCATTCCTGACCCCAGTTTGGTTCTGTTTTTGAACTTTGCCCTGTGGATTACCCCCTGGATTGCTATGTGGCATCTGATCTCTAGATCCTGACCCTGGACTGTGTTGTGGATTCTGTTTCTGGATCTCCCTCTGGCTTTGGTATATGGCTTGTGTCCTTTGACTCAGCCCCAGGCCTTGCTTTCCCTTGCTGGCCTAACCATTAAGCGAGACCACCTATGCCCTGGTCCCTTACACTTGCATCCAGACTTACCTCCGAGATCTCCACCACCTTCTCCAGATAGTTGTTGAAGATTGAGTACTGTTGCACCTTGTTGTAGAGACTCTGGTGCCCCTTCTTCAGGACCACCATACCCTGCTTGGTCTTTGCCAGCTCCTTTATTCTCTGATTCTTCAGGTCTCTCTCTCTGCTGGCTTTCTTGAGGGCTCGGATTCGCTTCTGGTCATTTTCCTTGCAATGCCCCCCATCAGCAAATTGAACCCCCAGGCAAACAAACATATCACACCAAAGGAAGAACAATGAAGAGAAGAGATGAGGTGGGTTAGTTATATGACAGTATTATAAGAAGATACCTCCCCTGTGACCCATCTCCTGTTTGGCCCATTCCACTTTCAGGATACTGACAACACTTGACATTTGGAAAAGGAATGAGGTTCCAGAGTTGAAAGCAACCCATGTGAAGCAGAGCTACACACCCCTAGTGTTAGATATGTTCAGCCCTCCACCACCCCTCCAGCATCAACAGACACGTTAGCAATAGAGAGAATCACCAGCAGGTGGAATAATGCCCAATCATTTTCAGGACTGTTAGCACCTGTCTGTAGGGAGGGATGCAAGGACTGTCCTACTACTAGCAATGGGGCAGAAAACAGAGGCCACTTGCTGATGGTGAGATTGTCTTAGTGCTGAGCATAACAAAGCCGGCTTGATCAACATGGAACAACCTGTCTCCTAGAGAGCCTCTACCAAGATTTCTTTGGTTGTGTTATGGAGTGGAGAGGCTTAGAGTTCGTTAGGGGATAAGGTTGTGTCTCCATCCATGACATATCAATTTTTCAACAGCTGCCCATCTTTCAGGCTGAAAAGATAGTTGGGAGTGAAGATGATTTCAGAGGAGTGTTCAGGTGCATCTTGGAAACTCCCTGTACATGGAAAGAGAGCAGCGAGCTGGTGTTCCAGGTGAAGGACATGTTAGACAAGTCATGACGGGCTGCTTGTACCTGTATGAACTGCTCAAATTTCTGGATATAAGCCTTTAGCTGAACCTCCTTGGCCTTAAGCTCCTCCCAGCGGCTGTTCAGGGCTTCCATCCTTGTTCTGAATGCCTAGAGATGGAGAAAAAAGTGAACAAGAGCCAGCTGCTCAGTTTCGGAGAAGTGTCCCTTCTACATATCAATAGTATTCCCCATTCTTGACTTCCACAGCAATGGTCAGAGATTAGTCACCCAGCAAGTGTGTTGTGTTTCTCAGAGGTGCAGAACAGGTGAACAGATGGTTAGCTGATGGGAGAGGGCCAGAGCAGAATGTGCTGGCTGAGCTGGTGGTTGGTGTTGCAGCTCACACAGGCCTGGCAGGGTTCCTTCACATTTCTCTCACCTCCTTCTGCGCTTCCAGAGTCCTATGTACCAGCTTAGACTCTTTCTTCTTCTCTAGGAGCCGAACGGACGGAGATGGGGATTGCTCTTCAGTCACTGGGAATTTCCTGCCAGAAAGTTACAGAAGTTTTCCCTGTGAGGGTACATGAGATTGCATCCATATGCTTCAGGCTGCCTGGATGACACCAGGGAGATGGAACTTAGCCTGCCTGTCTCAGCCTGTCCTGGATCCTCGTGCACATGAATGGCTGAGAGCCAGTCTAGCAATGAGTCCCTGCTCCTGTCATGAATGAATATCCCATCCCCTAGGGTGGAGTCCCACTGGTATAGCACCATGCATCCCAGGGCACATCAACAGGGAGATTAAAGTCTACTCGTACTCAGGGAGAAAGACAGGTTTGAGATGACAACAGAATTGGGGGGCGGGGAAATGAAGGGAAAATAAGGAAGTGTGGGAAAAAAGGAAAGGTAGAGACAATGGAAGACAGAAGAATGGAATGAGAGATGGCAGTGGGTAGAAATGGCAGAGGAAGAAGAGATGAGTGGAAATATAGGGTCTCATAGAGAAAAGTGGAGGGGAGAGCAGGAAGATGGGAAGGGAAAGGGAGTATCTTCCTCACATCAACAGCTTCAGGAGCCTCTGTTCATACTGCACACAAAAATACTCTAACAAGTCTTCTTCCTCCATGGTGGCCATGATGTTGGCTCCTCAAGAGACAGGCAAGAAGCCAAGTAGGCCCCCTCCCACCCCTCGATGCAGATGCTGCTCTGCCTGGGCAGCCCTCTGTGGGTCTCGGGGGCACAGCCTGGCACGCTCGGAAGGAGCTGCCGGGGGATCCACAAGCACGCTACACCGCGGCGCGGCCCAGAGTCCCTCCGGTCTCTTCCTTCCAGGGTACTGTTCCCCTTTGCCTCCTCCCCAAGCAGTGTGAGGGGAAGGAGACGGAGACGGAGTCCTGGTGAGAAGTTCCACAGACAGTTGGGATCGGTTGGACGATGCCAAAGTTGTTACTTAGCAACCTCAGGATCCAGTTGGGAAAATCTGCTCCAATCGGGCTGGGATTTGGGTTTTCCTCTTGGTTTGTAGCCACCACCCCAGTCCCCACCTGCGGGGCTACAAGATCATCGGGGATCCTGGTTTTCTCTATTTAAAAATGGCAAGTTGTCTGGTAAAAATCCCAAATTCTCTGATTAAAAAACCCCAAATCCTCATTTTTCTGTGATTAAAAATGAAACACCACTACCTATAAGTATTAATTTAACACAATGTTTTATTGATATATTTACAATTTTAAAGCAATTTGGAAGCCTACCAGTGCCTCAATCATTATTATAAAATAAATTTTAAATACCTATATATTTTAGCATTTGATTTTGGTTTCATGGAAACCAAAATCAAATAATTGAGAAGCAGAGCTCCCCCTGCCACCTTCACTCACCAAGATGCAGGTCTAGCTGCAACTGTACCCCCCGCCCCCCCGCCCCGCTCTGCCCCGCTCTGCGGCGCTGAACAATCCTGATGTGCCAGTGCTCTTCCCCTGCCCTTGCCCAAGCCATTGCCCCTCACTCCCAAGCCACAGCCCCCTGGCCCTGCTGGTGCCCCTCACTCCCAACCTGCAGGCCCCTGGCCCTGCTGGTGCCCTGCACTCCTAACCCACAGTCCCCCACCCCCCTGCTGCACCTCACTCCCAAGCGACAGTCTCCCCAGCCTTGCTGGTGCCCCTCGCTCCTGACCCACAGCCCCTGCCTCCCACAGCCCTGGTGGACGGGGCCCTCAGCTGCCCCCATCCTGCCCGGACTGGAGCATGCCCACCGCCCCCACCCCCCCCAGGCAGCATCTCCCAGCTGCCCTGCCCCTGTGACCCCCGGCACCAGCCCCGGTGCCACTGGCCCAGCCATGCAATTATCCACTGCCCCCAAAGTGCCCCCCCACCCCTTCCCCTGATGGAGGGGGGGACACCTCCCCTTACCCCCCTGCTCTGCCATAGCCCCAGTGCCCCGACACCTTCCACCATCACCTGCAGGGACTCGCCCCCACCCTCGCACACCCACCCCTGCACACACATGCGTGCCCCATACCTCCTTTCCCCCACAGCCCCCCAGACAGACCCCAAGCCCTGACCCTCCACCCCTGCCCCCATAGACTCACCTGCATCCAGCTGCTGGGACTCCTCCCACCACCCTGCCTTGCTGTACACCAGTGCCATGCATGTGCGTGCACAGACACACATGGTGCCCCCTGCCTCCAATCGTCCTCTCCCTGCTTCCCCCCAGCCCCAAGCTGCTCCTTGCAGGCTGGAAGGCTGCCAGCCTGCAAGGGGAAACCTGTGGTTTTCTCCTTTAAAGAGGAAAATCTATGTTTTTCTCCTTTAAATGAGACAATCCACATTTTTTCACAGCAAGCAGAAAACCCAGATCCTTGAAGATCAGCTACAATTGCAGCAATCCCCTTCATCACCCACCCCTTGGAGAAAGGATGAATCAGATGAGCTGAAACCCTGATGCACAAGCTTTGTTGGCTGCTGCGCACTGCATTGAGTCTACAGGTGATGGCATCACCTGAGAAACTGGTGTGGAAGAAATCAAACTTCGCGTTGTGGTTGTATCAGAATTGGCAGAGCCATCCTGGTGTTTTTCAAGCTATACAAGTGATCACAAGGAGGGTTCTCAAAGGAACTCTGACCTCTACAAGTTTACAAGCGTATTTATACTTTAGACAGCAAGAAAAGATGCAGGGTTCAGACAAAGCAACCTTGAAAGAAACAGAAAGATGTTGGTCATTCGTTTGTCACACGTAAGCAGTTTACTTATTCAGGACAAAAACACTGTGTTTTGGGAACAGTTACCAGCTTCTGGTTTGGGGGAAAGGAGGAGGTTAACATCTGCACACAGAGCTTAATATATCAAGACAGACAAGGCATGAAGGTTTTTTCTTATCTTAGAACGTTTTGAAACACACAGCATCAGCATCAGCATCTTTTTCTCTTCTCTTTCTCTTCTTAGTGAAGTAAGAGGCCTGGTTAAACTTATTTCCATACTGGCATAAGAGGAAATCTACCAACAGTTCAGATGCAATAAACCTGGTGGTTTTGTGAAAGCCAAGCATTTGGGCTTCAGTGGCCATGCGATCAAGGGGCTCACTCATCTTTCAAGGTGACAGTTTTTCCAAGGCTATTGTCTCCTGGGCTCTTTGAGATCACTCTTGCATTAGCAGTACGAAGGCAGTTCCTGCTTCTAGGCAGGCATGACTATGAGGAGTTGAGAACACAGATCTTGGTAACTGTCCATGGCAGGGAGGGTTGGGGACTCCAGGTATAGCAGTTTCACTAAAATCTAAAATAACCTTCTGAGCCTTGGACCCAAGGCATCTGGGAGCATCATTAGCTGAGAACCAAGCATCTAGGATCCAAGGGACTGCAGGCCCCTTTTGTGTCTTATTTTTTTAGGTTCCCACATACACATGCACAAAGGAACATTAGCTCTGAAGGCTGATGGTTCAATCCTGAGTGCACTGGCCAAGACGGTGGCTGTCACATGTATAAAGTGAATTTGAAACCAGGGCACCAAAAGGATCTGTTACACAGTAACTATTAATATCCAAATGAGAGGAAAGCCAAACCCTGCAACTGGATTGTCCTACTCTTTAACAAGAGAACTGCTGGCTGGGTTTAATCTCTGCCAGATGGATTTGTCATTACTCTTGCAGCTCAATAGGCAGGATAAGCTTTGGGAAGTTCTTTATCACTCTCTTCTGCAGATGCCAGATATGTTCCAAATAAAGTGATGGAGCAAATGAAGGGAAAAGACAGAGGCTTTGGGAATCAAATATAGTGATCTTGGCATGCATGGTCACTGTACCATGATGAAGCTCTTCTTGGAGGGGACAGAGACTGGTTATGTAAAGTAAAACTTACTAAAATGAAAATTACATTAGTATGGAGCATAGATAGTAACTTAGTGTAAACTTCATTATCTTTCAAACAAGCTTTATAAACCCAGGGTATTCACTGTTATGGTTATACCTAAAGGAGGCCCTCTACACATGCAGTACAATGGGATCTAATGGGCAATCGACACAATTGCACCACCTGCCTTCCCCAGTGCCTGCAACCCCAGCTGCTTGTCCCCACAACTCCTGCCCCTCCCACCCTGCCCCCCTCCACTCTCCTGCAGCTTACCCTCTGCTCCTGCTTCAGCCCTCACCCAGACCTGCTGCCTCTGCTTCTGCCTGGCCAAGTTGGGGCCAGGCCGGGGCTGGGGACACCCCCAACAAAAACTGCCCTGGAGTGAGAGCCACCACAGAAGGAAGCAGCAGGGGGGCAGGTGGCCATGGGATGGGGACAGGGTGGCCAGGGTTGCAGGTGGGGGGAGAACAGGAGGGAAAATTGGCCAGGGGTGCAGGTACTGGTGAGAGGAAGTGGCCAGGGGCTGGGACACACACACACACACACACACACACACACACCCCGCCAGATGTGCAAGTGGATCGGGGGGGAGGCAGCAGGGCAGGCAAAGACAAAGAGGGGTCACAAATGGTGGGGGTCTGGCTGCCTGCTCCCCCACTGCTGCTTTCCCTGCTGCGGTGGTAGGGGAATGAATTGAAAATGACTCCCAAATAATTAGATTCTATACATGGAAAATTATAAGAAATGTATAATTTTCCATGTATATAATCTAATTATTGGGGGGTCATCTTAAATTTGAAATGGTCTTTGATTTGGGTAAATACAGTAGATATAATAGATGTCCACCATGGTGTCATCCTTGCTTATTTTATCCAATGAATATCAAATGCCAAAGCTGCAGAGGCCGAGCTTTAAGTTGAGAGGCAGAGCTTTAAGATGAGGGCTGGTGCAGGCTCTGTGTGGTCCCTAGCTGGTGACCTGGTGTTTAGAGCAATTTGCTGAGAAGCAAGTTTAAATCCTCTCTGGGCAAAGTGAGACCTAAAATCTGTATTCTTTGCTCCCTAGACAAGTGCCCTAGCTGCCACACTAGAAGGTAGGAAGGAGCCTCTCCAATTGGGTCGAACACTTACTATTCATGATTTTTCTTCAACTAAAGTTTTGAGACTCATCTGGCAGCTGCCTGGCCAGTGCAGCCCACTGGACTTGCTCAGTTAGCAACTGTAAGCTATGCTAAATCCCAACCATGTGCAAGTGTTAAAACTGCAGATTAATGGTCTTGTAGGAATATGAAGATGCAATAAAATCTGGACCTATGTGCTTGCAATACACTGAGTATGTCTAAGCTAGACTGCATGGTTTTGGGGGCAGGCACATGCCCAGCTCTCGCATATATCAGATAATAAATACCTATTAAATCTTTGGTTTCACTTTTTGCCTTATAAACAGCTTGCTATGGCCAGCACACCCTTACTATTCTTTAATCATGCCAAGTACTGACCATGGGATTGATGCTAGGCATAGCATAAAAATGGAAACAACTATTTTCCTGTTGTCTACTGGATAAAGCAAAGATCCAGGCTCAGTTTCTAGCTCTGACAAAGGCTTCCTGACTGACTGTGGGCATGTAACAAAGAGCGGAATTTTTGAAGCGACCTCTCCTTTGCATGTGGATGAGAGCAGACTAAGGCCAATACTGAGCACTTCTGAAAACTGTCCTCTTTCTCTGCTTCTATTGCAGCCCTCCAACTGCACAGTGAGGGTAATGTTACCATGCACTCTTCTTCCCAGCCTTGTCTTATCTCTTTAGGCAGAAAGGTGTTTGGGGTAGGGACTGGGCAGACACCGTGTAGCTGCCCAGCAGCACACAGGTCAGCAGGGACCTCTAGTTTCTTTTTAAATATAAATTGCATGATTTAGGCTTAAAGTGCCAGAATAATGCTTGCCTGTCTAAAAAAGAAAAGACTAAAGGGTGAACATGATAACAGCCTTGCAGTACATAA